GGTGGTGGTGGTGTCGCGGACGGATGGAACGAGAGTGGGGGTGTGCACGGTGGATGTGTTGGATGTAGTGGGTGTGTCGGGAGTGCGGTCAAGGCCGCTCTCGTGGATGCGCATGTGGCCGAAAAGGCCCATGCGATGCGTGAAGGTGCAAGGGCAGTGGAGGCGAGTGCGGTGGGTGTAGGTTAGTGCTCCAGGCGCTGGTTCGCCAGGCTCTGTGCGATGGATTCGCAAGTGACCGACCAGGCCGATGTGTGAGGTGAAAGTACGGTCGCAGTGAGGGCAGGTGTAGTCCTGATCCTCATCCCTGGAGTCGGGGAAGGTGGTGGTAGTGTCGGTTGCTGTGCGTGGGACAGTCGCCTGAGCGGCCGCCGTTGGAGCAGTGGGCGAGGAGGAGGAGGATGAGGAGGATGATGGAAGTGGTGGGTTAGTTGGCGGCGGAGAGGAGGAGGGAGAGGCAGGCGGGGGGACGATGGTTGGTGCCGTTCGAGAGGCGCAGTTAATCCGAAGATGTCCAACAAGTCCGATTCGAGCCCGGAATATCCGTTGACATCGAGGACACGTTGGAAGCGGTTGTGCGGCGGCTTTGCTTACTGGGCGAAGTTGTGATTTGCAGGCTTCACGTTTCGCTTTGGCGGCAGCGATGCGGTTGGCTTCGTAGATCGCAGCGCCTGTCTTCACTGTCCTCCTCCAGGTCGGTCGATCGAGTGCGAGCTCCTCCCAGTTGGTGGGGTTGATTTGCAGGCATTTCAGGGAGGACTTCATGGAATCCTTGTATCGACGTATTGGGCATCCTTGACGGCGAGAACCCGTCGCGACGTCTCCGTAGAAGAGTCGTTTGGGTAGTCGCTCGTCGTCCATGCGCACCAGGTGGCCGCTCCAGCGCAGCTGAATTTGCCTCAGTATGGCGTAGATGCTGAGGATTCCCGTCCGTTCCAGCACATCAGTGTCGGGGATTCGATCCTGCCACTTCAGCCTCAGGATGCGACGAAGACAACTGAGGTGGAAGTGGTTCAGACGACGTGCCTGCTTTGCGTACACCGTCCAAGTCTCCGCTCCATACAGTAGCGTCGGCAGGATGACGGCCTTGTACATCTTCAGGTTCGTGCTCAGTTGGAGACCATGACGATTCCAAACTGTGCTTTGGAGGCGACCGAAGGCTTGACTGGCTTTCGAGATCCTGTTGGCGACTTCGTCCTACAACATCTTAGACTACTTGCAAACACACACTCGTGGACCAACTGTGAACCAGCTCCATATCGCGCGCATACGAGACACCCCTTCGGAGCACACCAGACATCACTACTGCAGTATACACGCAATCCACGTTTCCAAAATCACATGTCGAAACCTGTCCTCTGGTGAAGCATGATATATGAAATGACGACCAGGCCGTGTATGACGCGCGTGGGGGGCTGTCTGACTTTATCTGGCACTGCACCAAGCCCACCCTCGGTCGTCTTAGTCTTGTTTTGTTCTCAGAACAAGTTGGGTGAGGAGAAGAGTGAGGTAGATGCTGCGCGAGTCCGCCTCGCTACAAACACATTTTCATGCAGATCACTGCTGCTGATCCAGTTTAGGGAACAGTGGTGAAAATCGTATCTAGCGGAGGTCGAAGTGCCAAGTGAGGATGCTGGTAGCTAAAAGGATGGGTTGGGTGTAACTCTACTAATTGCAAGGAAGCACTGAATGTCCCTGACTTAACTTCCCCTTACTCACCTCACACTGCAGTAGGAAGAATAAGTCAAAACTACTAGAGATAAGGTCCGTCCTTGGGACTCGCATGACAGTGTTCTCTCTGTCTATGTGTGTCACAACAAGAGTAGATCGCACTCTACAAATAAAGTCTACCTGCTGTACAGAAGTCATCAAATCTACAGCAACAAATCAGCCGCTCTCATTTGATGTTTATAGCAAGTTGAAATTACTAATGTGATGTGAATGCTGCGTAGCCCGAAATTCCGGAAACATAGATATGAACTGAGTATTGGCAAGTTTATGAAAAAGGCATTACTTACTCTAGCTTTACAATCGAAACCATTGCCATTCCGTCACAATGACTCTCCTCTAGGCTTCACTTCGATCCAACAACAAAGTAGGAAAATATCTGGCTTGCACGGACGCCTAGGCCAATATTGTATCCCACACGCTGTCCCTCTTCACAAAAGCATATCTTGTGTGCCCATATTTGGAGCACATAACAACTGCATGATGTGAAAAACATGACAATCGCAGAATCCTGAAGGACAACGTCCAGCGCACAGCGAACTGTCTAAAGTTAATAAACACAAGCATATGTCGCTAAAGTCAGTCGTCGAAGAGGAGGAAACAGTGGTGAGTTGTTGGTGACAGGTGACAACCGTAGCAGTTAACCGTTTCAGGAAGTTGAACTGGCTCATCTTATTCGGTGGATACTTCCAAAGTCTTAATGCAGTTTTAACTTTTGTGTTAACAGAAGTCACAGAGCCTTATGCTGTTTTGTTTGCCCGTCAGATGCGAAGGACAGGGCATTATATTGCACTGCTTCTTCTTACAATGCTTTTAAAACTCATTCTGTTCGCCGATAGACTAAGCTCTGGCGTTTTAAACGTTCCCTTGGTTGATCTATTGATTTGTAACTACTGTACATTTAATGTGTATCGAACCTCCACGCTACCTACGTGGCAGTCTGGTCAATGAGAATGTCACGTTTACTAAATTGATCTTAGTAGCGAGGTTCTGTACTTTAACGAAAAATGTTCTTCCATAATCCGTAAATTGTTTTGATGGTCGAATGAGTAGAGAACGGCATAGAATGTACTTTAAACCTTCTCCATTTAAAGACCGCTATTGTTCAGTTTGAAGGTGACCATCCGAACCATTGGTGCCACATTTAGAATTCTTTCACTGCCGAGACCTCGAGTGAGTAAGCACTAGAGTTAAAAACAGTACTTGTATACACAATTGTGTACTACTGGCTGCCCGCTGGCACTTTGTGAATATAACGCGGTTATGCTGCGGTAGCTGATGGATTTCAGCTTAAACATGCATATTAAATCTCGAACCATGCCTGTAAAGGTCTGTTCCAAGGGATTTACGCATTAATTTTTTCGGAGATTACACAAGGCACGGTGAAGTGGAGTTCATATACCAGAAAACACGCGGGGGGCTGAAGGAGCCACTAGTGATCAGGACCCCTCGCAGCTGCGTCAGGCAGCCGCACAAGATCGGCGAAACATGCGTAAATAAATATACATTTAAACACTGTAATTTTCTCACAATCCGCAGATATTGTCCAGGCTGGAAGATAATGAGCTTTTTCCAGATTTACCAATTTATGTGCTGAATGCTCGCTGTCGGTAGAATCTAGAAATTATGCAGACTGTAAATTAGCATCAGACCACCAAGAATGTCCCATATAGTCAAGCAACAGCTTTCTGTCTATTCTATGCAATAAGCCTGAGTTTTAATCACTTGCTCACCTCAATGTAATCTTCGCTATAGACACTATAGGAGTGATTTATAGAGAGACCGAATAAAGTTAACTGGACTGACAATTTCACCTATGGGCGTTAAGAGTGCGATAGGGTTTCAAATTGGTGATCGTTTACCAACCAATGGCTGCCGATGCAATCGCATACATGGTTCCCAAAGAATGCGACCTCAGATAATAGAGCTAGTCAAATACGTTACATTTGAGTCAATGCATAGACGTAGCGGGTTCTATAAGGTAATTAAATATTTTAATGTACAGTACCTGGCATAAGGCACGAACTGTGCCCAAACTTACCAAAAATTAAAAATTGCCCAAAAACCCACACAAATAAATCGGTCAAAACTCCAACTTAATCATGAACGACTTTAAGCGAAATGAACACGTAAAAGGAATTGATGGTTCGACTGTCGCATCTGAGGTTGTCCACTGTGTGCTTCACAGCAAGGTTAAATTAGCATAGTAACTTGCGCCGCGCCTACCGCACTCTCCTTACCATCTGGGCTCGGTGTCAAGACAAAGTCAAGAAAACCGGAAGCGAAAAGGGAGCAGGTGGATGGCGCGAACAAACCCGCACTTTGGCGCTCCACTCCACACTCCATGGTCCAAAACAAACACTTAACTAGGATTTGGACCACCATCAACAACAATTGAAAATATGTCGATGACTGGGCAGCCATGCATATGACCTGTATACCCAGCGGGCATCTAAGTGCATCTACCGCCAGAGAAACGGATACCGCAGAACTCTCAGGGCACACCTGATTGTGATGGCCAGGGTTTGCTGATCATGGCATAGCAGACGCTCGCAAACTTTGAGGCCCAGAAGAGCAAAACACAGCCTGGATAATCATCCTTCAAAGTCTGGGAAACCAGTCAGTCAGCGACCGAAGGGCAATAGCCCACACACTCCTCACATGCGTGAGAGTGCCACAGGTCACTTTAAGAAGGAGCCGTGACAGCTTTGCTCTCAGTCCATCAGTCCGCCAGTCTACACAAACACACACAGCAAGACGGACTGCGTGGACTGAGTTGAGGCGTCAGTCTGCAGCATCCCAAGCCACGGTTCTGGCATACCATGATACACTCAATCTCGGATCACACATGCAGCAGAGGGGCCGCATGAAGACGGAGTCCAGAAGCACACTTCCCACTGGCATGGCATGTGGTGATTGAGTGCTTACAGCGGTGACATTGTTGTGTAATACGGTAGTTGATGAGGGGCGTATGATAAAGAAAACGGTTTTTTCCCGCTGACTTTCGTAAATGCGCATGTGAGCTGATGAAATCATACGGCGAATGAATGTGTGGGGACAGTGAGGGCAGTTTGGGTGGGTGCGGTGAGTGTAGATTGGTGTACTAGAGACTAGTTCACCAGTGACCGACCAAGCCGATGGGTGAGGCAAATGCGCTTGCGCGTCGACTTATAGCAGAATCCATTTGATATCCCAAGAAGTTTTATGGGAACATCAGCAGTAGGAGAAAATGAAGGATCGGAATTGCGTTTCCAAAGGATAGCCCCGGAAGCTTATTAGGTAAAGGGCCACAGAAAGCACAATTACTATCTCAGTTTTTTTCAATTGCTTTTAAGGGTGGAGTCCTATGAAGACAATCAGGAGTTTGAAATGGACCAAGACAGAGGACACATTCAAATGCGCCATGATACTGCCGTCATTTAAACCGTTGCCTTTTCCATCGAAGAGGTAAGACGCGTCCTCAGTCAAATTAAGCTGGGTAAGTCTTCGGAACCCAAAAGAATTCCATTGCTGAGGCTTAGGAGCTATCAACAGAGCTGTCAAAGCCTCTTTCGACCCTCTTTGAGCTGTCAATCAGAACAGGGAGGCTGCCACCACAGCAGAAGACAGCTAACCTCGTCTCCTTATATAAGGGAAGTAGCAGAATGACAGAAAGCAACCTCGGACCTATTAGCTTAACTTCCCTCTCGTGAAAAAAATGAAAACTCTAGTGTTATACAGTAATTTTGCGAAGAAAACAATGTCCTACAGAACTTCCGTCAGGGCTTCCGGAGAGGACGTTGCTGTCCCTCAAATCTGCTAACTTGTCTGGAGATCTGGACCAGGGCTAAAGAGGAGAGTTTTGAGGTCGGTGTCGTGTACATCGATTTCTGCAAAGCATTCGACACTGTCCTGCACCAACGTTTTCTTCGCAAATTGAGCGCCATCAGCATCCGGGGAGATCGTTTGAACTGAATAAGGGCATTTCGATTGGCCGGGAACAGTGTGTCTGTATCGGTGAGGATATCTTAGACTGGGTTAACCTGACTAGTGGTGTGCATCAAGTCTCAGTTCTCGGATCCTTACTTTTCATCCTCTATGTTAATAACAGCCTTCAAGAACTCTACCGCAGTAAGATAATGTCCACTAATGACATTAGGCTCTGGTAAGTCACTAGGGGTCCGAATGACCAGAGAAACCTTTAAAATAATCTGCACCGAATGTACATGTGGTCCGATAAATGGCTTCTTGATTTCAGTGTGCAGAAGTGTGCCGTACTTCGTCTGCATCCAACCAACTATCATTCAACTGAGGGCCTGAGGGCATATCGCCTGAAAGACATTGTTATTCCCAAAGAATCTTCACTGAAGGATTTCGGTGTTTGGGTACGCAACAACATGAAACCAGCACTGCAGTACAACAGGGCTAAAAAAACACCATGGAGTGCTCCATGCGATCAAAAGTGCGTTGGTAACCTTTAACATAGACAATTTTGGGGAGTTTACCGCGCCTTTGTGTGGTCCCATCTAAAATGTTACGGAAGGTCACTCGCATACGCGGATTCATATGCAAAAGTTTAGACACAAATGTACTAAAGACATAACTTTATGCAATGTAGGTTTTCTTTGGCACAATGCCCTCAGAAGAAACAAAAGACATTCAGAGATGCGTTGTTAAATCTTTGTGCAAATGTGATGGCCGAAAATGCTCGTCCATTGAACTATATAATAAGCGTGGTCCCTGATCCCTGTGGATTAGTGTATCACTATAATAGCGGGTTGCTTGAATGAAGGGAGGAAAAACAGTAATGCGGGCAGCGTGGCTGAATCACTCCTTTCTGATTTGAAGGCAAGGACGATAGAGGCGAGCGTATCCGTCGATATTTTGCATAGCTTCATCTTTGATTTCCAATCAGTTCGCTTGGCCGAATTAATAACACATCATAATTTCTACGATTGGAATGACTTCTTCCTAAGTTCGGATGTAAATGTTCGTAATGATAAACTAACGAAATTTTGGATCCGCTTATTTCTCGTTTTGCCCCTCGTAAAAAATAATGAATACCGGGGATGAGGTTCTCCTTCCCTTACCCTTTCGCTGTAGTTTGCGCAAGCCTTCTCGTCGATCCCCTCTTCAGGACGACGTTCCCGTTCCGCCCTCAATTTGGGATATTTTTGCGCGGGCTAAGAGATTGTCCGAAGAAACGCAGCCAGTAAAGGTGGTCCACTTCATCGAAAACCGTTCGTTTAATGTCTCGAAACTTTTTTCTCGAAAGGTACGAACTCTCAGAAAAACGCAGCATCCCACTCTTTGGGACGCTTTCGGGAATCCTATAACTGATGCACAGTTGGCCGCTGACAGTTTCAATGCTCTCCTGTCTAAAACGTTTATTAAAAACTCAACCGCTCCGTTTCGAACCAGACATCCAGGCATAGACCGGAGTAGGGCTCGATGAAATGAAAGTTGGATATGGGCATAAGCCTCAGTAGGAACAGACAATATCCCGAACCCTCTTGTAAAACGGCTAAGAGATTTACCTGCTCTGCTTAGCAAACTCTTTTCAGTCCTTCTCGAAAATTGTTTCTTTCCTGACTGTTAAAAAACCTATATTATTACTCCAGTATTTAAATCTGGCTGTCGTTCTGATGTTCAAAACTATCGAGGTGTCCATAAACCACCTCCTTCGTCAAAATGTTTAAAAAATTATTGCCATGAAACTAACCGACTTTTGTATAGCCAATCAAGTTATTATCCCTTTCCAACACGGTTTTCGCCCGATCGCTCTCGTGAAACATGTCATATGTCGTTTCTAAATCTATTTACTTCTATTCGTAATATTCATTTACCTGTTTAGGTTGTTGGTGTTGATCTTAGGAAAGCCTTTGATAGAGCGCCACATAGAAGACTCTTGGTTAGATTTGAAGCTCTGGGATTTCAAAGTCCTCTTATAGACTTTATCAAGTCATACCAGTCGAATCGCAAATAAAAGGTTTTAGTGGGATCTTCATTCTTCCACGAGAGTGAGTGTGGTCCAACAAGTGATGTCCTACAAGGTACCGTTTTATGTCCTCTTTTGTTTCTGCTTTACATAAATGTTATCTCGTCAGCAGTTAAACATTTCCAATCCTTTATCTATGCTTACGATCTCAAATGTGTATTTTCATTCAATAAGTCCACGATCCTTCATTGCCTGGAGCAAATCAACGCTGACATGCTTGCTCTCCCACCGTGGAACTCAAATTGACTAATGTAATTCTCTCTGTCTAAATGTCGCATTATGTGTTTTGGACCTGATGGGCTACTACGTCCAGTGGTCTTTCAAGGCAAACCTATGGCTGAATGTACAACCATCCAGGGTTTATTTATAAGCTACAACAAAAATTTTGATCTCTTGCCACAAGCCGACAGAATTACGGCCAAAGCTGCCAAATCCTGGCTTTATTTCGTACAATTGCTATCCTCTTGAAATTGAATTAGAACTCTCTTGAATGGTTGTACTTCTCATTCTCGACTATCATTGCCCATTCTTTGGTTTTACGAAAGAGAATGGTCGTTTAAAATTGAAAATGCTATAGGAAATTTTACTATAAGACTATTAGTAAGAAAAAATCCAAATATTTCCTACGCATATATGTGCCACATAAATAATCTAAAGTTTTATCGGTACGAAGACTAGACGCAGGCTTCTGTCTCATATTTCGCATTAATAATAGTTCAAGTCTTCTTCGAATTTCGGCCCTTACTCCTAGTATTCGCCATAAATTCTTCGCAATTCTTCCTTAATTATACACTTTCCGCTTCTCATACCTATAAGCATTTTGTTCTTCTCATGTTTAGGTATACTTTCCCCTGGAATAATCTTCCCATATATATAGGATAGTTTGATAATCTACACACTTAAAAGAGAGGTTTACGCATTTATCTTAATACTGGCTCGATAAGACCTTTAGTTGCCCCATCTTTCTCGGACAACTTTCTTTATGACACTGAGAAGTGGCCATTGGTCATTTATGATGCCCCACTTAAGTTCCGTATCCGTTCAAATTTCCCTTCTTTGTATGTCGTTTCGTCTCCTAGGGTCCCACATCAGAAATGTTAATTTTTTTTGGTTTTAAGTTCATTCATCCTGCCCCTCATTGAATGCGATATCCTCCCTAACAAATTCTCCCAGAGAAGTAGATTGACCAGTTGAAGTGCATGCCTTAAGACTCCTCATTTTGACTGATTGCCGACACTCTCAGAATTTCCCCTTAACCCCCGCGATCTCGAACGCTTACCGCCAATCGTTGACTTTTGCAGATCTTGATGTCGTCTCCTAACTTAGACCACGAACTGTTTGCTGACGGTCACGGCGTGAGTCTTCTACCTTCGCCATTTATTAGCAGTTTTGTCAGTCAGCAAAGAGATCCCAGGGTCGCATTCTCTTTCTTACGCTTTGATAACTGACCTAGCAGTTAATGTCCCATCCTTGGCTGGACTCTGAGCAGACTGCGTCCCGTCGCGTCTACGTCCATCTGTCTTGCCACTTCAAGGTGGATAAACTCAATTGGTTTAGGAGGCTCTGTTTTGACGATTTACGTTCTAATTCCCATGTTAAATACGTAGGTAGGCCAGTTCCGTTCGACCCGCACATTTTTCCTCTCATTTGCTGCAGAATTTTACTCCTTAAGGGTTAACCAAGTCATACTCATCTGGATTCTTTCATTAGGAGCTTTATCACTGCTCGCTGATCGTTTTTACATGTGCTTGTTTGTTCTACAACCGAAATTTGAATAATGTAGAGAATCTGTCTACTTTCTCTAAAATTAACACGAAAGTTTATAGTAACTTGCTCGGATGGGACCCCTAAGAATCTTTAAATAAAATTATTCATTTATTAAGCCAACAGATCGTGACATCGCGCTCGAGCTCTTAAAAAGCTACCTACAGACCTTTGCCAGTGGTGCCGTACATGGCGCCTTTCTCTTTCTTGGCATAAATGCTCAGTTATGTTGGTTACCGTCGACCATCAATCTCAACCAATTGTTGACAGTCACGACATAAATGGACATGGAATAATTAAGGATCTGGGTGTGTCATACTCCTAGAGCCCTAGTCTTTCGGAACACTGCGCCCAGATAGTCTCCAAAACACGTAGAACGACTTTTAAACTACCGATTTTAGAATGCGCCATCAATGCGCCTGAAATACTTGTCGTTTTTATTTAGCCTCATGAGTGCTGCTGAGTGGTAGGACATAGAATCCGTCCAACACTTCTTTTATCAAGAGGGTTTTAACCTCGGAACAGCGACACTTGTCTTACCAAAAACATTGCTGGCTTAATGGTCTTGATCCTTAATGATTTTGTAAATTACAAAAGGGACTATTTTTACTATTTAAGATTTTATATGATCGTACCTTTAATTCGCCCACCACTTTGAGACATCTTGCCCAACCCGACGTAAGAGTCACCGTGAGGACTTTCTATTTCTTCATCTGGCACTTGCCGTTAAATATCGTCGGTTCTTTCACGTTAATGCAATGGCTATGTGGAATAAAGTATCGAGGAATGTGAAAACTCTGCAAATTGTCCTTTGTTAAAGAGACTATTACTCGCTTTTTCCATTCAGAGAAACTCTTGCAAATTTTGGGTGCTGAATCCATCGATCGAATACACCGTAGCGATGGCGTTCTTGGACTCTTATCTCTACGGCCGGTATCACCAAGTACAATGTTTTAGACAGTAGCGACAGCTATTCTTTAGTGCCTCTGTTTGGTCCAGTCCAACCTTAATGAAAAGAATTGGCGACTAAAAATATCCGGTGCAGTGCTACCCATCCCTTTCTTTACTGTCTTATTTTCATGCTCAGCATTTTTTCTCCTTAGCCCTCCATACTATGCAAAACCACCATCCTCTTTAATTTTTTTATCAGGATTTTTTCCACTGCTGGCCGGATTTGTGCTTAATCTTTCCCTGGCTTCGACTGTAAACTTGTATTTCACACAATTATTATTATTATTATTATTATTATTATTAGTCTGCTCTCCTTTGGCCCTCTAACTGGTTACACGGTAAATAAGATGAAACAAAACCCGGGCTAGACCAGAGTCCGACTGCCGTTATCGGGAATGTGCACTCATTGCTAGTGCCAACATTGGGGTGTGGTTGCACGCCGATGTACGGGTCCATTCTTTCTTGGTAGATAAAATCTTGCCCGAGGTATATTTGGATAGGGGATATAATGGTACACCTTGGTGCGTGCTTTCGCTGTGCTAACTATTCCCGCCGTCTAATAACTCTGGCCTTGTGGCCCTGGGTTGAACCAGAGAGAGGTATGGGAAGGGCTCAGAGTGTGTGACAGATGTTGCTAAAGTCTACTGTACCCATAAACTTATTAACGTACCAGTCATTATCCGGGCCTTTAAACTGCTGCTGTGCATGCAGTGGACAGCGACGTTCAGAACGCTCAAACTTCCGTTGGTCTCCCTCGTAAACATGATACCAAATGCATGCGACGAGACGGCAGCCAACTTTTACTAAGTCAGCCGGTGGTTGAACAAGTCGACTAATCCTCGTGCGCGATGCTTACGGCTGACAATATTTTGCGCATTTATATAAAGATGGATTGCTTAATTTGTGGCAAAACTCTTCTTTCATGCAGGGTTTCTAATGGCCATTCGCTTATGAAAACTGTCAAATATGCAAAGGTTTATGTCACAGAAACACAAAACTAATAAGGAGGATTTTCCACTGTTTTACGTGTATTGCAGTGTTATTTGCCGAACGACATGTGCTAAAACAACACTATTTCATTCCATTCTGTTACTAGTTTTGAATTTACTCTCGGTAGTGCTGGTCACCACATCATGTAATTTTGATTTGACGCTTAATCCTTCCCCACGCTTCATTGTTTGACAAACCATCTGTCATTTTTGGTCATTGTTCATTTAATTATATGACGGATTATACGCAGGGCGCAGTAGGATCCAGTTAGGCTACAGACGACGCATTCATTCATTAGAGAATGTAAGCATTCTGCTGCGGATTTGCCAACATCAAGTACTTGTGGAAGCAGCTTATTAACGGAGGAATACAAATCATAATCGTAGACCAACGATTGCTAAAGTGATCTCTATTCATGACAGACAAACCTTTTTCTTTTTAACACTGCAACGGTATAGGCAGTCAACACTATATTTCGGCACGTTGATCACGTTAGAAATATTTGCTCCCTAAAGGAGGATTTCGATTGATTTTTCTTGTCAATTCTTTCTCCACTTTACATATTGGTGTTCATGGACGTTTTCTTTTTCCTTAGTCAACTTATATGCAGGAAGAATTTTCAATTATAACATGTCACGTAGCATAGTTTAGGTTGCTAGATGTGATCGCAGTTTAGGTTTCTTGTTTGGGCTTAGTTGTACCTCGTCTAGTTAATTGTAAACTGTTTGACAAACCATATTTGAAGGACCCTTCCACAGGATTATCTTATGCATTAGTTTGTTGTCATTAATAATACTCCCCGTCTCGCTCTGCAGATCGGATTGTAAGGGCCGGCAAGTACTTTTCCGAATAAAAACTATATATGGGAAAAATAATAAAGATAAGCTAACTGAATGCCTTTTGGGATTTTTTCTTTTACTTTTTGTTTGTTTGAACTTATCGGACAGAGACATAAAAGGAACGTTTTTGAAGTCTCTCCCCGGTCTCGTTTTTGTCATCTTTCTGGTGCTGGATCACGCGAAAATTCCGGCTCTTGTTCTGTCTGTCAACAGCTCCAAGTTGATTCTGGCGTACTGGATGAAGTGCATGTTTAGCTAGCCCACAATTCTTGAAGGTATGCTTTTCACACTCAGGGTGAATAATCTTTCAGATTCAAAGTCCTGTACCGGAATGTGATTGTAAAGCTTAAGCTCACCTTAATGTCATGAAAGTGCCTTTTTCAGTTTAGAGAATTGCGGTCTATCTGGATTGTGTCTAAAAAATTGGTTTATGAAATTTCAGTATCCCTTTGAGAGATGCGTTTAATTTCACAATAGGAGGGCTAGGCGCTGAAGCGAGTATCAAAAGACACGATGCGTTGACGCCAGAGGACACACAGGAGAGATTATTAGCCTTTTTCGTGTTTGTTACAAAGTAGCTGTTATTCTTTTATTAAGTGCTTTAAGACATTTGCAACGGATATTGTAGCTGTTTTCAGAACTTTATATATTAAAAGGCGTTTTTATTGCTTGTTTACCAACGAGTGTCGCTAGGAATTCATTTTGCTTAGGCTAATTTCTCCTGCCAATCATAATCATAAAGTAACCTCTGGGCTAAAATAAGAAATAAGTTGGATTTAAGCACCGGATGCACAAAAAACAAATCGTGAATGGCCAGTTTACCGTACTTATAGTATTTCATTCCGTAGTAATGCCAGGGGCTTTCGTGGTACATCAATATGCGGTTCAACAGCGGCATTATGTACTGTCAAAAGGCAATTTTTCCGTGCACCTCCGAAGTAAATGTAATTTCTAAATAATAGATAAGGCAGTTGTTTTGCTCACCTAAACGATTTCAAAACATTTCGGTTTACGTTTTTCGAGTTTTCAAACTTTTCTTTGACGAGATCAAATAAAGTTACATCTTGTACATACATGTACACTTACGGGGTTTTGGACAATGAACAAAATGTTGATTCCGTTGTTGAACATAAAGTATGAGTAGGAATTGGTAGAAGCCATGCGATAAAAACTGTTCACAATTTTATATGGGAATCTGTGATTTATCGTATTATTGCCGCCAGCATACACCTAAGAGCAACAAATCGCCTTTCGATAAAGAGGTTGACATGCTTAACGCAAATACGTTTAGTTCAACCTAAAGCTATGTATTGTGATGTACGTCTTTCTCCAACCTAACATCGACAGGAATTCTTCGTCATTCTTCTGTTTCTACTTCATTGTGGAAATGGAGAAAATGTTCAAACCAAACGGTCGTTTTTTTCCTTTCATGCTCACTATCAGACTAAGATAAATCGTCTCTCAAGTTACGCTAGCAAAAGTACGGAACCATTGCTTAGTTGTAGTTTTTCAACTTTGTAGCCTTCTTATTAGCTCAATGACTGTTAATATGGATAACCGACAGTCTGAATCTATCTACGAAGGAACCGAGAAACTGCTAGAGATGTGGTTTTTTGGTTCCGAACCGGATGTGCTAGAAAGCAAACCTTTGCCTGATATGCGTCATTTAACAAGGTATGCAACACATTGCGAATTTCAGTTATTTCATCAATTAGGAAGCAAATTCGGCACATCCTTGACCTGGCTCGATGTACTGTTTTGGATGAAATCCACAACGAGTTTCAGATTGCCTTCTTGTTGAGGTAACTGCCACTTAAGTTTTCATCATAGCTGTTTTAAGTGAGAGTAGTTTCTTTATCACACGGAACCGAATTATCCTGAAAACATGTGGGAAAACAACTCTCCTTGAAACTCTAAAACCGTTAACTGAATTTGCTTACGAGATGGGCTTTACAAAATATGTGGTAAGTGGTCTATCAGAGACTGATTGCATTATCAACAAGACATATATATATATATTACATACTTTTTGAGTGAATTTTGAATTTTTACTTTGTTCTCGAATTTCTTACCAGAACGTTGCATACCACGAGGCAGTGTCCACTAGCACTTACTTTTGCTATAGTGTATTGCATGCCACTTTATCCTTACCGATTAATTTCTCATTATAATGCTTTGAAAATATTCAGTTATACTACTCCAGACGGTCCTACCTATTTCCGGAACTTCAGCCGCCTTTGCAGAGAGATTTCTCAAATGAAGTAAGTTTCTATATTGAAACCAGACATAATGTTTGTTTCAGCAAGTTTAATAATATTCAGCAAATTTGTTTATTGATTAGATGATTTCAATAACTTATATAAACATCTTTTTCCCGCGTTGTAATTGGTTATCAAGCCTGGGTTTGCGATCCTATTGACTAGATTTGATCTTATGAGTAATATTCCCTCTGGGTACGAATTAAATATGTGAACGCATTCGCTAATGCACTGGGTTATGTTATTTCTCCTTATAACTATTTCGGACTTATGTCCTTATTTTGTGTTGACCTCGTCTTGTTCAGCTTTTCTAGATAACGAAAACGTTTGTCTGTATTTAAAAAATCCGATGATCTCGCGAACACTGTTACCCGCAGTGCTTTTGTTTATTACTGCGTTCGTTATTCACGATTCATCCGTCAAGTAAACGTGGTACAACTGAATGATTGTTCACAAGTTGAGCCTTATGTTCTATCGGACGACTAAATAATTCAAAGAAAGTATTTCGAAAACTCGAAGGCGACGGGTGTCTTTTGCCCATGGAGATTGTAGTTCATATGTGCGCGACAGGTCTGTTTTGACTTAAGTGTCCTTTATTTTTGGTCTAGCATTTCAACTGATCTGGTACTGATTTAAGAGATTTTTACATAGTTAAAGGATTACCGATCTGACACATCGGTTTATGTTGAACAAGATGACTGGGCAGAGTTTTAAGTAAGGATGCACACTTTATCGCCCAAGTTATAGGTTTCCACTTCTACTGTCTGAAAAGATTTCTTCACATGCGACGTAAGGAATGCGTAGTTCGTCTTGGATGAATCGATTTTTAACCCCATCGAGGTTGCCTTCTCATAAATGTGGAGCAAAACACACACTTACATTAAAAGTCCACCAGCATCAGAATGTCTTTAACATATTCAAAAGTATTAATGTACAGACTACGATAAGTTAACTCTGGGTCGTTTCTGCAAAGTGAATTTAAATATCTAATCTACCACCCATTTGAAGAATTCTGCGAAGGGAAGAATCCTTGATGACCACTTAAGGTGACAGCCGGGTAATTTTTCCTTCTCATTGGCCTGGATTTTGGTCTTTTTATGCAGTATCCGGCTGGCAACAGTTCCAATAATAGCATCAGTACTTAAAAACGCCAATTCGAATGTCTGATTATTCCATCGTATGAGAATGAATTGTTAACGGCTGCGCAAGCATTCTGTTGTCCGATGAGACGTGATTTACCAAGAACTGTCACGATTTAGATAAGCCGTGTAAAGAAGTTCTCTAGCACACTTAGTCTAGCGACCACCGTTTTAACGAAATCTTTACATTGAAGTTTTTCTAATTTGGGGTTGGGTTTCCTATTACTCACAAATGGTCACATATTTGTACTGTCCTTCAACAAAATTTACAAATTTTTGCCGGAATGCAGTCCTTAAGTGTTTTCTTGTGTGTTGGTTGTGCAGCCACACCGACAACTTTCACGTTCGGTGGGGTACAGTCGCCATTGCAGCCGACGTCGCGGTCGGTGTCGAATTGCATGAAAGATGAGCGAGTCATGAAAATCAAACTCATTTTCTGGAATTGACTCCATCCGTCATATCGCATGTCACCAAAATCCGCACAAAAGGGTAACCAAAATAGTTGAGATCGACAAATGCTTTATTGTCTGACTTTAAACGTCCACATGGGCCTCTTGGTATCACTCCTCAAATAAGGCCGTTCAAGGTCTGTCCACTAAAATTCGTTGCAAGGCGAATGCGCTTGAATTTCGGAAACAACTGCCAGTACCCAAATACTTACAGCATATCTAAGTTTGAACTACAGCCACTGTCTCAGTTCAAGGCAGTCTTCTAACAGATGAGTAGAAGAGGCCTCGGACTGCTTTCGTCTGCACATGAGCGATGGCAAATAAGGATGGTCAGGCGGAAGGCTATTACACGCGTCGGGTTATTCAGATGGTTCACGTTGTATTTAATTCACAGCTAGCTCCCAAAGACTTTTTTTAACGGAGGCCGACCCCTCAAAATTGAATCATTGGGTCCACCGCAACTGCTTAAATATTTCCTGAATTGTCAGCAACTTGTGGTTTTGCGAGCAGGCAGCTAGGAGCATGTAACTTGGAAAACCTGAACATTTTCAGAAAAAAAACTGAGTTTTAGTATGTGAATTATCCTGAAAATTGGTAAACGTTTTTGTCTTATCCCCTCCTTTTGCTTGATGTGGAATTTGGTTTGAGCTCATTGTGCTTCAAATCCTAAAGCCGGGTCTATAATATAATTCTTAGATTATTGAAATGCACACTGGCAACTTAGATTGAAACCTATTTGTCGTTGTAAACGAGTTACTTCCTACCTCTAGCTCAAAATCATTCAACCTTTCTGCGACAGTAAGTCCACTTCCCTTTATGTTCTTTACATTCATATCCATGCCTGTAAAAGCTGTTTTTTGAGATTCGTCACTTTCCAGTTTCTTTATCTGTGAAGCTACCACTTATTTCGTTCTATGTATGAACACTTTCTAGCAACCGTTTTCTGAACATTATGCTACTCCGTAGAGAAAGGAAGCACTTTGTCCTTCCTTGTAGGAATTTTTTTGCTGCCCTGTCGTTGCCTAAAAAACAATTTTAGCATCTGCTAAACGTTGTTCCTAAATGAAGTGACGTGACCTGCTGAAACTGACTGTCCCCTTTGATTACTGCAAGAATTGCTTTTATTTAGCAAACTTTCGTGCCCCGTTTCAGTTTCATTAGTTAGCCATTAATAAGTCTTAAACGGGACTCAACTTAATCCCGGGCCCGAGTTTGTGTATGCAGAAGGTTTTTTGCAGTAAGAAATATCTGAAAGCTAATCCGTTTTCCACACGAACAGAAAACATCTGAAAAATTGACTATTTATCTTGTCCATCCGTATTCTGTCGTACTCATGCCCGACACGCTTTACGAACATCATCTTTATATAACGTCTCGCAGATCCCCTCGTTATTTTCAATCAGCCACATATACTATGCCTGAAATCGCAAATCTTTAGATTTTCCAGTCGTACCCGAGACCCCAAAAATATATTGATGGATCGCAGAAAATACGTTTTATTTGGCTTGGTGAAACTTTAAACTAGATTTCCACCGCTTAATATAGAGAGCTTTTTCATAGTCACTGCCTCTTCTGTTTTTCGCATAGCTAAAATAAGAAACGTATGCATATTATGAAGGCGATTTTCATCAATATTATGTCGATTTTTTAGACGGTGCGGGTTACACTTTTGGACGCCTAAATGGGGACTGTTGGTAGGCGCCTTGTATTTCGAAATTAAATCCGGCCATAGTATTGGATCTTCCCTCTGCCAGTTCTCTTTGAGATGAATTGTCGTGATTTTTCATTACCTCAAGCGAGAATTAGATTTATTTCAGGGGTTTTGACCGACGCTAAGAATTTCGATAATACCTGCCCCTCTGTTCTCGCCCTGTTTCGCTCTTCTGTTTGCGCTCTAATCCGTACGACATAGAAACAGATACCTCACTAACTGGCATTCGCATATCTTCTGCATGATAGTCCGTTTTTGATTGACTGTCAGTATCCATTTTGTCAGTTCTCCCTAATAGTGTATTTCCATGTCAAACGCATTTTATCTCTTTGTTTATCCAGGAATTTCTACTGCGGACAATCAGCTAAGGGCATGACTGACGAACCACCAGGCCAAACAATTGAGGCAAGACAACTATAGTCGTTAAACACACTTTCTAAGACAAATACATTAACTCGTCGCCATTGTTTGCCTGACTGATCACTATGCTTCTATTCTTCGATCTGGTAGTCGACAGCCTTGTGCTCTGTTGGTAGCAGTCTGCCTTGCTAAGTCAGTTAATGACACGACGCCTGTCTGCACCTGTTTTTGTCCTTGAAACTTTTCCATTCAATAAGACTTAACGTACCGATCGGTATGGCGGTTTTCTACCCACTCGACGCTTGGAAGTTTGTAAAACAACGCGTAACTCTGATACAGGGGAGGTGATCTTGTACTCAAGAAGCATTTGGGCTGATGCCAACATTGATTTGAATTACACGCACTTGTTGAGGCGGTGAGTCAGCGTGCATATTCCGAGTAGTAGCAAACACTGCATCTTAACACTGTGCCAACCACCTGCCTTGTTGTAATTGGTAACGGTTGTGTTAAGAAACTAAAAACAGCAGGACGTGGGTCCATAGACTACAACTCAACCGCAAAGAACTCAGTTAGTTCTTTCGGATTTTCCCCTGTCTTTCATGGCAAACCTTATCACACAGCAGC